GAAGTAATCTTTTAATTGGCTTTATATAATATAGTTTTAAGGGGGACATAAGATGGTATCATTGGTTTGACCTTGGATAATCGTTTGAAGGTTATATGAAGATAATCTTGAATTTTTTAAATAAAAACCTACATTTTGTATTATATCATATTTTTCTATTAATTAATTGGAACAACTTTTGTCTGAAATATTTTTTTATTTGTCTAATATTTTTTTAAATATTCAAAGAAAACTTAGCAATTTTTTTCTTTTATAATTTTTCTTTTATAATTTCGCATTTCAATAATTTCATATAAATGAAAAGAATAAACTATTAGATAAACTGACTTAACTAAACTAAACTAATTGAAAGACGTACCATGTATAGAACTACATACGTACTTAACTTAAAATAGGTAGAATACGTGCGCCACGACTCGTGGCGAGTTTGAAATTAACATGTCAACTTACCCCATTCTTTTTGTGTCAACATACCCTAAAGCTAGTTAAGTTCTTTCGGATCATATATGTATATAAAATACAATGTAAATAATGTTATTAAAAAGTTCGTTAAAATGTTGTCAACTAAATATATTTTCGAACTGATAGCAATTAACATAAAATTATTCTACGTTTATCAATAATATAAAGAAATTTAGGAGATTGTGAAAATCTACTTCCATAGTTAAGAATACAAATTAACGTCATTATTTCGTAACTGTTGTTCATAATAAAATGCAATTTACGTAATATGTGTTAAAGATGGTTTTGCACTCTCCACTTGCTTGATTCTGCAATTTTTTAAAATAGTCAAAATATAAGCAATGTGTCATCTTACCCCTATAGCCAACTTGCCTCGGTCTCCCCTATATACTATATGTCATAAACAAAACTCTATGCGCGCACGGGTTGGTCCTGATAACGTGGGACATGTACGATCTACAAGGCATGAAATGTGTTGATATTTTTTTACTAAATAGTGTTTACTGTAATAAATATAATTACATATTAACTTTTCCCTTATTAATATTTATATTATATTATATGTGTAATCTGCTATAATATGTTTCTTAGAGAAATATCCGTTGTCCTACAAGCCTAGAAAGCGGTAAGTGCACTAGATTAACATACAATAACTTATACACGTTGCAGTATGTCCACATTTTTCGTGGTGGCCTAGCTATAAGAACTTAAATGCGCGTTTTCTCAAAACTATCCATACAGCACCAAACCTTTCAGAAACATTTCAGAAACATTGCAACATTGCAAATTGCAATGTAATATTGCAGAGACAATTTAGAGACATTTAATTGTAATATTTCGCCGACAATGTTTCAGTAACCTTGTAGAAATATTATAATTTTGCAAAATATATTTGTAACGTATTATGATATTCTTTAGATTTTTCAAATTTATATTATTTCTCATATATTCCAAATGCAGCTTAATAGCATGTATAGCAACGCTACTTGATAGTCTCGTAATTTCCGATATTGCCGGTATCGGTCTTCTTCGTCCACGTTGTCCATGTTCAAAGTGTATCTTCGCGACCTCCAACGTGTCTCTTAACGATATCACTCTAATCCACGGTAATTTCTATTCCTACATAAATATATTAAAATGTACCACAAATTTGATAATAATTTTCTAATATGTAAAGTACTTCAGATTTTAATAGATGAAGTTTGAAAATATACCTATCCGATAAGAATAAGATAAGATAAGAAAAAACGTTGCAAATTTTTCTTATATATCTCTTGGGTGTCTTTACATTCTCAAATTTTATTTATTAGGTTGTTCGAAAAGTTCGTTTTAAATTTCCCATTGTATGTACATATACAGGAAATTTAAAACAAACTTCCCGAACAACTTATTAAAATCTTAAGTATCCTGTATATTTATATAAATAACGCATAATAAAATCAATATTACAAATACATTGCACCGTGTCATTGTTGCAATGTTACATTGTAATATATATGAGGGAGGACATTTCAATGTTGCTTCAAGCTTGCAGCAATGTTGCTGAAACATTTCGCAACCTCCATGCAATGTTACAATGTTGCAGTGAAAGATGTATGCAATGTTTCTGCAATCTTTCGGTGCTGTAACAATTTGGGAGATACTGTTTTCTAGATTAGGTCGGCAGAATATTGAACATTGAATATTTTCCGCAATAACGTTGAAAAATAAGAATTATTTAGACACCAACATCCTGTCGCGACTCTTTTGTCCTTATTCCTTCGCATTTACGTTTATCACGCGAGAGCCTTATGAACTTTATTAATTTGTTAAATTGTTAAATGTGTTTCGCATATAAAATTGTAGCATTCCTCTTCAAGATGTTGCAGGTATTACATCACAAAAAGTCCTTATTAAATTATGTGCTATGTCACGTTCTTCAAAGCGTGTTACGCATTGCCGGTCAAAACGTACAAAGAACTCGCATTAGCGCGTGCACATAGCGTAAAAATCATTCGGCATAAACGCATTACCCTTTACTCAACCGGGATACCGGATATATATTGGTGAGTTCATCGGTACGAATGATTACTTTTTTATTTACATTTCTTTTTTCCGCTCTTTCTTCTTTCCGATTGCGCAGCTACCTGCTCCGTATTAAGATATCCGATGGTCTGTGCGTGTATAAGAGAATTACGAAACGCTTTCTCCCTGTATGATGGATATTTTAAGTATGCAGCTTGCACCACTTCCTGTTACACCGGCGGGTCTGCCGATACGCGATCGAAAAAAAAAAGAGGAAAAGAGGACATAATATGCAGCGGAGCGTGTAATATGTACAACACGGCCTCGATCGTTACCTTGGTCTTAACACTGAATCGTTTGTTTGGAGAGCTTCGTAATCGGTCTGAATGCGGGAGAACCGGCAAAAATGCCGGTAATCTCACATGCAACGATATACGAGATACCGGTAGAATACGTGCACCCGTGTGCCTGGAAAAAAGTCGAAGACTACGAAGCAAAGCGTTACTGTCATTCGAGATGTTATATAATCTATAATACTATTTCTTTTAAACCTGACTGCAACTGAAGCGAGCATTTTTTTCGCGCATAGTCCTTGGTATTTACTTAAAAAAATGCGTTGTACATATTGTATATTTACGTACGCAAACGTTCGTTAAAAATGTAATAAAGTTTAGCTGAAATGTATTCGAAAATCTCTCTCAAATTGTCTCATTTTATCACCATTTCGTTAATAGTTAAATAAAAATTCCTGAAAACTAATTTCTTCATTGAAAGTAACACAGTTTTTAGCTCAATTTCTAATAATATCTAATATATTTATAAATAGTATCTAGTATTTCATGATTTTTTAAATAACTTTTCAACAGTACGCTTACACTTTCCTTATATTTCACAGTATTAGGTACATCGAATTTTATAAGGAAAATTGATTCATTTCGAGATAGATTCAATAAATTCTCAATGATTTTTATTTCACTTTTCACCGATTTCGCAGTACTTTCAGAAAAATATTTCCATCAGGATGAGACTTGCTTTGTGTGTCGATTGCTTGTTGAAATAAATTCTAAGGATCCATGCACGCAGCAAAAAAAAATACCAAGTTACGGAAAGAAATTATATATTGTTATGGGGAAATCCGGCACACAGCGTGCAATTATGCGTGTAAAGTACCATTCATGTACGCGTCAGACCAACAACGATATTTATCATCGTGTTCGCGTTCGTTTGTGAACTTTCGCTAATCTAATATCGGGTTGTATTTACGATTAGAGAGCAATTACGGCGCGAACTAACTTCCTTCGAAATTCCGCACGCGTATTTGGGAGGTCGTTCATTATATCATAAGTGACTAGGACGATTATGTATACATTCGCGACATCGTGTCACGACATCACACTCGAATAATGAATTTACATCTCGTGGAGCTCTGACCTTTTGCGGGATTGATCGGACTCAAGTTTCTCTCCGAAACCAGAAGCTGTTTCAGCAATGCCGCTAGTGAAATCAGTACGATTTATTGGTGCAAAGTCGGAGATTTTTATGGGCTCGTGCACGTGATAATAAAAATACTACGTGTAGAATTCTTTGGAGTCAACCGGTAAAAGTGTCTTCGGTGCGACGAACTTCCATCTATTGTCGTCGAAGAAAAAGAAGAAGAAAAAAAGCACTCGCCGGAAATATTCTGCGCGGCGACCAATTTGTTTCGCCTCGCGTGACGTAACACAGATTTCCTGACATTTGTACAACGTAACTCCGCATAATTCATTAATTTATAACCTAACGAATGAAATTTATGTTTTTGGGTTTCTGCGGGCGCTCTCACTTCTTTATTCACTCTCGCGGAAACATTTCTTCGCACATATACACGCGCGCGTGTTCTTATTATATCATAACAATTAATTCAAATGTGAAGTTACGAATGTAACTCGCAATTTTGTAGTTGAATTAATTATGTAAATAGCGAGGAGAACTAAACGATGGAACAATAATAAGAATAACATTGCGTCACGCTAAATATTATAAAATATTAATTACAGCGTGTATCTTGTCAAAATAAAGTAACGATTTCACTCAACGAGCAACTTGTAACTCACAATCTGTACAATAAAAGACGAAGCTTTCGCACTGAAGTGAAAAGTGACGAGGACTACATAATGGAACAATTATAATGAGAATAACGTTGCGTCACGCGAAATGTTATAAAATATTAATTACAGCGTGTATCTCATTAAAATAAAGTAACGATTTCACTCAACGAGCAACTTGTAACGCACTATCTGTAGAATAAAAGACAAAGCTTTCGCACTAAGGTACCTACTCGAGATAATTTCGCGATATCTCCCGAAATAAGCAGTTCCTACGACGTTATTATAAAGTGGCGAGCCACAATCGTCGCATTCACACTTTCTCGTAGAAAATCAGATTTTTGGCAGGCCAGGTTGGTCTCTCGACGATCCGCGAACGATAGGAAAAAGAAATTGCCCGCGAATTACGTACGAGCGCGCTCGTTATCGCGCGAAATCCGAGCGCGCATGGCACGCACGCACGGCCGACCGTGCTCTCCGGTCCGGGAGGCGCGGTTTTACACGCGCTGTACGCACATCGGAAAGTTACGCAGCTCCGAAACGAACGTAACGCCGGGCCTCGGCGTTTCCTTGCTTTTACGTAACCCCCTGGATCCCGGGGGCCACCTCGCTCTCCCACCCCGAGCAATTTCACCGGGTGGTTTTGGCCATCGCCGTGTCCGTCCTTTATAAGCGGACATCCCCGACGATCAAAACACAGAATCGTATCGGCACAGTTCGCAAACAGCGCAGCACGCACAGCCGCCGTCGCGAATTTTCACGGACTTAACGATCGAGCGATTAAGACTGACAGAGACGAAGATGCGCGCCCACGCCGTCGCTGTGAGTGACTTATTATAATACACGTATCATATTCATCACACTTGTCGTCTCGATGCTCGCCGGTTCGTTTCGTGGCGGTCAGTGATTTTAACACGAAAATCGTAGCTGAGTGTGTATTTTGTGCGCAAAATTTGTGATTGCAAAATCATTTTCGGCAATACAAATCTCAGGGGACTCTTGAGATTTCTCGACGACATCCAAACAGTAATCGTATTTTTCAAGCGAAATTTTATAACTCGAGCAGATAAGCAAAATTTTTTATGCACGCATTCTTTGTCTCACTGTATAAAAACACTTGACAGAATTCACTGACCGTTTGTGTCGGGGCTGTAACTATTTGCGCCATTGTTTAAGGTAGTTATTTCGTAATTATTTATGTGAGAATTGTTTCAAATTTTTACAGTTTATTCTTTACATTAATACGTGCAAAATAAGACTAATTAAATAAAAATTGACCGTCTCAAAGTTCTAAAAAAAAAAGTTAAAGTTTGCTATGCTACACGAAATGTTACGTGTAAAACATGTTAAAAATATTATTACACGTAACAATATAATTCGTTGTAATATTATTTACACATATTATTATGTGTTAAAATATTAATATTTGCGTTTGCAAACGCAAATGATGGCACATTTTAGTTTTTTTACGCTTAACGGTGAGTGAGATTCGTGTGAGAAACAAATATGTTATAAAGTAAGATAGAACGAATAACTGGAAAAAAAATCAAAATTATTGACCGTTCCATTCCAACGATATAAACAGTTAAAACTGAAAAGTGGGAAGAATTATGTAGTAGACCCTCGAGTGCATGTTTCACTGATCAATCATTTTCCAATGCATTCAAGTGAATAGCGGTACGTCAAGAATCACATTCAAAGACCGCAAACTTCTCCTGTAAATGAAAATTCTCGTAGGAAAAAGAGAAAGAAAAAAAGATTGACTTTACCGCCCGTAAATGTCTGAATAAGTGACAGTTGTCGCTGCCAATTAGCAACCCGGCTTTTGTATCACCGCCAGAAAAGTGGCGAAACGATTAAAGGAACGCTGTGCATCTAAATGACCCCCGATGCACTTTCGATATTACGAACAAACCGCGATCACACACCTCTCGTGTTGCAGTTGCTCGTGTTTGGAATAATGGCAGTGGCTTTGGCGTCGCCGGTGCCAGGTGGTCATCATCAGTAAGTAGCGCTTGCACAGTCACTTATATTTTATCCAACCGAACTAGAAGCTCTTCAGCGACGTTACAGCTTTCTCAGAATTGTTTTTTACGTGTCGCGAAACCTTCGTCTAATTTCACCCTATTCGGTCCAACCCGGTTTGCAACACTTATAGTTTAACAGATACGATCTAATTATTATTTCAATTGTTCATTATGTAATAACTGCTTATCACACACACGTAACAATAAGTAATTGAAATAATGGATAAGAAAGAATTAAATACAGTACGATAAGGAAAACGATTGTGTGACTCCAGTGAACATCATGTGATCCACGTGCCCTACAAAGTGCACACAATCCATCATCATCACACGAAGAAGATACACATACCGGTGCATCACGTCGAGAAGGTCGCCGTTCCCGTCCCGTACCCGGTGCATCACGTCGAAAAGGTTGCAGTCCCAGTACCTGTACACCATGTCGAAAAAGTGGCCGTACCTGTGCCAGTCGTACATAAGGAGTACGTCCCTTATCCCATACATGAGGAGAAGCACCATGGCTGGCTTTAAATACTTCGTTTTCATCTTTAATTATGTTAGGTTTGTACCATTTATTTGTAACTTGAATAGAATCTGATTGATGTATTAAAGTTATATCGAATCGACAAAGACACTTTTTAAATATGCATTTTATAATTTGTACGATCTTAAATCTCTTAAATATTTCGCAATATATTCCCCTCCAAGGAGAGAGAAAGAAAAAAGGAAGAAAAAGCTTTAAGTAGGTTAAATTTGTTTCAACTGCAATTGTAACAGCAGAAAATGTCTACAAGTTTATATACTGTTCGTTTTTTATTTTTATCGCATAATTACTTTAACTTGCGAATTGATTTAGCGCTTACTCAACGGACTCGCGAACTGTTTTCAGATTGCCGTGCAAGGTGGAGGTCGAGTAAGTAACAGCTAATTGAATTCATTCCTCATTGCGGATTCATTGATAACAAGTTTCCTCGTGGAATACACAAGAGAACGAAACCATTCAGTACAAAGTTACTCGCGCCACCAGTGCAGCATGTAAGGATTTAGCATAAGAACCAAATACTCTGTATGCACGCGTGTGTACTTAGGACAAAAATAATTGTACATACTTACATACTTTTACTTCACGTTACACGCTCTCATTTTTATATAAAATAAACGTTTGATAAAAAGAAGATGTTTCGAACGCATATTTATTTACTTCCTTTGTTTTTACGAAATAACTGCACACGGAAAGAACTTTCTCTTAAAATTTATCCTGAAAATCATGCAGTCGTGGGACAATGTGGCATTACAAAGAGTTTTATGAGAGTTTTTTAAGTTTTAACATAAATTTTAAATAGTGAAATTTCAAAACTCTCGCAAAGTTCTTCAAAATGTCCCACGATTTTTAAGGTAAATCTAAAAAGAAAATTCTCTCCGTGCAGTTTCGAAAATTCCACATCTAGCAATTAATTGTTAAACATTTGTTGTCATTTTTTTAATTAAATCTCATACGTACGTGTTTCTCTAATGACCCATAACTATATTTTCTTTTCTCAAGACATATGTATATATTTTAAGACATGTTAAGGGGATGCTGGAGTGATTCTGCACTTTTGCACCTTTCTAACCTAGAAATTGTCAGTTCGCGGAAACACTTGCGTAATATACAAATTAAATGACTTACGCGTACAGATCGAAAGCAGCTTGCTATTCCGGCTAAATGAAAGAACAATATGGCATCACTGAAACTAAGTTTGTAAGTCTAATAAAAAATATTAGTGAGCAACACACATACTACATGTACTATATGGTGTGTTGCTCACTATTACTTCTTATGAGACTTACAAACTTAGTTTCAGTGATGCCATATTGTTCTTTCATTTAACCGGAATAGCAAGCCGCTTTCGATCTGTAAGCCATTTAATTTGTATATTACACAAATGTTTCCACGAAACCGACAGTTTTAAGTGCAAAAGGTGCAAAAGTGCAGAATCACTCCAGCATCCCCTTAAAATAAATGATAATCACTTACCTTCAGAAATTTACACAAATCGCGAGAAAATTGTCGGATAAAGTGGAATCATTGATCTATAAATATGGTTTATTTTACATAATTAACAGTGTGAGACCGTAACAAACAAGTCGTCATCAATATATCATCAAATGATTATTAAGTAACTTTGACAAGTGACAAGTTCTTCAACCACAAGAAAGTCGCGAGACCAAGTGATTTACCAGCCATCTTCTTCATGATGCTTATGGTGATCATCGTGTGATTTGACCGGTATGTAAATCTTCTTCACGTGTGTATGGTGATGCTTGTGAATGTGATGCGGCACGTGAATGATAAAGTGCGTGCTAAAAGCAATTTTTTATTTCTCTGATTATTCCTGCCGTGTAGTAAATTGACAAGATAAAACCGTATATCACCTAAGAGGAATATAAAGAGCAAGTATATATATTTAAAGAAAGAAAAAATTACTGTTCGTGATGGCCGCCGGGATACGGCATCGCCGATACTAGGGCCATTGTGACAATCAACAAGAATAGAACCTAAAACAGAAAAATGTCGCGTGCGGTGCCATACAAATTTTGTTTTGAAGAATTTAGTTCGTTTACGCGCTATAAACTAACGTGCACACGCCTGTGGTTTAATCCTCAATCGGATCAAAGATAAATTATAGATCTTATCTTTCGCGCGATTGGAGAAAGTTCCTATTAATCGTATCCACTGTGATTTTATCGGAAAACCACAAAGTGATAATGATGAAGCAGACGTGTCGTAAAATTAGTCTGATAGTATAAAGAAACTAGGAATCTTTGAGATTTCTATATAGATGCCCATGTATGCATAAAAATTATATCTTTTTCTCACTTTTTGTTCCGTTATCTTTCTTTTACAAATGCTCAGCATTTACATCGATTAAACAGCCATTAATATTATTAATCAAGATTTTTTGTCGGCATTAACCGGTCAGTATTTTAATACAGAAAATGTTTATTGCGAAAATTATTACCTCAGCCAGGTTTGAACCTGGACTTCCCTTCTCTGGAGACGCCCGCCTAGAGAGTAGGGAAGTCTAGGTTCAAACCCTGACTGAGGTAATAGTTTTCGCAATGATAATTTTTTATATGAAAACACTAGCCGGTTAATGTCGACTAAAAAGCTTGATTATTGTCATTTATTATTGGCGACTTAAAGAGATTTCTATGATTAATATTATTGATATGTTTCTTATATTTTTCTATAGAGAAAGTATCTTATTTCCACTGTATCACTTTTTAATTGTATGTACACTGAGAAAAATGTCCGATTAAATATAATCGGATAATCCAATTACATAATAACAAACGGATATATCCAATTAAATTGTATATCCGATGAAAGATATGATCGGTTTTTCAATCAAATGTTATCGATAACTGCATTTCATCGGATAAATTTCCTCGAATGTATCCATAATTTAATCGGAAAACGTAATCGGAAAAATTAACCATCCGGAAACACTATTTAATTGGTTTATCCGATGAAAATTTTTCTCAGTGTAAGATTGTCCTCTCTTTTTTTTCCGCATTTTAGCCAACTTGTAATATTAATTACATTGTTTAAAAAAACATTAACTTTATATTTAATCAATAAGCTTATTGTTCAAAAACAATGCAGAGATAAAATCAAGCAACTCGTGCAATTTATTCTTTTATTACTAAACAGTATCTTGGTATACGAAGCTACGTTACGAATATGTAGTTTCATAAATATTCAGGATTCTTACGTGAACATGAAATAAAGACGCATCATTTTGCATGAATGTGAAAATGTATGAAAATGTATAGCTCTTCCTTTCATATAAGTATATGTATATTTAATATAGTTGAAGACATTTTTTTTTAATATGTATCTCGCTGAGAAATTGCACTTCCTCGAATCTTTTATCATTTTAAACTAAAAGAAATTTCAAACATAATAAATACATAACAAAACTTTCACTAACAAAAATTTATTAAAACTAATTAAATATTTTGAAGTCACAGAATTGCAGATTGGTTGAAGTGGATTATATCTGTTTTTTTTTAAACAAAGTAACTATTATCGTTAATATTCGCGCAGTAAGGGTCACTGAGAGGAGAAACGAAGATAAAATCATCGCTCTGTGAAGCGTCCGTGTGCGCTTTGCACGTTTAGACGTAACAAGTTCGCACTCAGATTCGACACCCACGTGTATTCCGAGCTTGGTCATGTTTACTCTATATTTGCACGAAATATGCACTTAACTCTTCTGAAACCGCAGTCGTGCGGTGACTAAAAGCCTCCTTTATAGCCAGCCTTATAAATAGAAACATAATCAGTGAACCGTGCATGAATGGCTAGACAACAACGGTGGACCTGTTTTCCTGAAAAACAGTTCCTGGGTGCAGTACACCTCACTTCACCTGAAATCACTCTCACTCGAACGGTTTTGCACGAAATCTCACGTACGGTCTCGCACGCGCGCTGCGTCGTAAACGCAATTTTCGCGAGCTTTCTGTCGCAAATTTCCGACGTTTACGCTTCGGTTCGCGGGTAGACGGCATGCCTTTCCCGAGTGTGGTCACCTCCGAATTATCTAGTTCGAAAGTGTCGAAATGCACTTGAAAAAAAAACAAACAAACCCGGAAACTCACCGACAGGATTTCTCCTTCGAAGGGAAATCGACGCATTATTCTCCAAACAAGGAAAGTAGATGCGCTACCTTTATTCCCCCGTCGAATATCATGGCAACGATATCAGGAAGTGGAGAAAATTAAAATAAAGATGAAAGGAATAATATGCTCATAAAGTGAAAATTATTCCGATGAGATAACTTCCTTTTTTACTTTCAAGTGAAATCGATTTACCGCAACAAAGTTGCACAAATTGCATGACTCTTCGAAAAAGCGGCTGCGAAAAGTTGTCATTTTCTTCACATCTATTTCATTTCTTACTAATTGTCTTATTCTTCTCCGAAATATTCGCTTACTACATTCATTACGCGAACTGTCATCACGGTTGAATAATTGATTCTCTAGTCCACTTACATAAAGCATTATATGCAAAGAACTTTACACACGTAATCAATCAAACACACGTTACATTATAAACTTTTGCGTAGCTTACGTAATCTCTTACAATTTCATAATCAATATTTCTACTAACTTCTTATAAAAAATAACAACTCTACTCTCTCATTTGTTTAGACTATTTTTAAACATATACAAATAAAAAAACATTATTTCTTTCACTTTCTATTTTTGCGAGTTAAAAATTGACGATAAAAATGCAACAAAATTTTACCTTTTCTTCTTCTTGCTTGGTTATCTCATTAGTCTTTGTAAGGAGAATTTTTTCCAATTAGTGATTACGTCCTTATCCTTTGTGGATTAATGTGAATGTAAGTTATATCCATTTTAGCGCAATAGATGCGTGTATTATATATATATAAATATATATATATATGTATACATACGAGTGAAATCGCGTCTCGTTTATCATATGATTGGTTCTTTCACTTTCCGCTTACTTTCCATTTTAAACTAATTCAGCGTCAACGTGCCTTTATGATACCATAAATGCGATTTTATTATAATGCCCGTTAACAGATGTCGATAGTTAATGTACTGTGCAACACCGGCACTCATTAAGGAGTGGAAATCATAGGTGTATAAATCCCTGAATAGAACTATTCCTCTTTTCTTGGGGAAGCAAATAACTGTGAACATGACAGGGAAAATTCTTTTGAAATTAAAATAAAATTTTCTTTTATAACATTAACTCACGCATCTAAAAGCTCATGTTTGTTTAGAGGAACGTCTTTTAGAAAAATATTTTATTAAAGTAACAGAATGTATTCGATATTTAAATATTAAGACTGTACAAAAGATGAAACATATACAAAATGTATACAAAGTTGTGTATAATTACATAACGCCGTGTAAATTTTTATTTAGGACGCGTTTATGGCTGAGATACATGAACGTCGTGTCCCACCATCACAAATATAAGCAAATGCCTCAGGTTGCATATTTATAGAGACCGCGCACCTTGGTTTGTCCGTTTATTTTACTACCTAACAAAATTAATATTTTAATAAAGATCAGAAATTATTTTACCTTATTAATCTCAAACTTTCCTGCTTTCTGATTAAAAATGCAATTTAAAAGGAAAAGGTCAAGAGAAATTGGATTACACTTTTAAAGAACGCAAGACTATAAATATACAAATATCAATGTATTCCTTTCTATCGTTAAATTCAAATTTACATAAATATATGTTCAATAAATCTATCATGAGCGAAATGTCATATAATTATTACGTTGCCTGGTATGCGCGGACAATGTTATATTAAGATATTAAGCGGATATATATAAGAGGCTATAATTTATGTTTGTGCTAGCAATCATAGACCATCTTCGTGAGGTACTTCCTGCAAGGCTTTCCATGTCGTTTTCTGTGATAAATGACCATAATAGTATTACCGTAATGGTCATGTGCATTAATGTAAATATAAGGAATTAGTGGATGATAAAATGAAAAGTGCAAGTGAAAGCAGAATTTTACACTTCACCAATGTAAATCACATCCGTCATTCTCAATCGAGGATAATGAATCGTTAGTAACACTAGCGAGTCCATGAAACGAAGCGCAAAATGTGCGATAATAACTGGCACGTACGTATTCATTGCAATTAAATCGCAATGCGCATGACGACGGAGGAAAAGCTTGTATTACAGTTAATCCTCTATAATGTCACGTAACTTTGAAGTCAAGTTGTCAACTTGACACAACTTGAAACAAGTCAAGAAACACTCGTATATCTATATTTTTTAAGATCTCATTTCTTTTCTCGCTAGAAATTACTCCAAGTCGCAAAACGATGTCAAATAACATTTTAAAAATGTCTTATTCACGTTAGAGACATCATTTTACATCACCTTACTACTTAGAACAATTAGTATAGACAACTATTTTCAAGTCACTAACCATTTTTTTGTAACACAAAAAGTTTAAAAATTGTGAATTAATTATTAGCTTTATTCGAAGGTTAATGTTTGTTAGCCTCACGTTATATAATTTTTGTTAAGTACGACAAAGAAATCGAGTTATAAAGGGTTCATATTTCGTACACGGAGAGACTTTTTTTTAAATTTGTCCTGAAAATCACGTAATCGTGGAACATGGCATTTTGAAGAATTTTATGAATTTTTTTATTTTACCGTACATTTTACTAGTGAATACTATAAATAAATACTATACTAACAAGTATTGTAAATATAATTATTTTAGTAACATTTCAATAAACTTATAAAATTCTTCAAAATGATTTTCGGGATAAATTTTCTTACGGCGTTCGTTGTTTGTCGTATCCAAGACCGTCAGCATTAATGCTGTCCGTGTGCCAGCGAATAATTGCCACCCCTCCCCCGCCCTTGTGCTGAATCCAAATAAATCAAAATTTATTTTGTTGAATTGGATAAAGTAGGAAAATTTTCATCTTATCAAATCAATAAATAAAGCAGTTTTTAAAAATATAAAACGG